AGTGCGAGGCTGGCACCCTGGCAGTCACCGGCCATGCAAGGCGGCATACGTGCCATGTGGACCCACTACCGACAATGGCGTCAGGCGGCCAGCCGTCAAACCTCCACCATTTGGAAGGCGTGGTTTCACTTCGCCAAGTTCCAGAAGGCCCACAGGGACTTTCGCCGTGCTGGCAGGCTTGCCAAACATGCCTGGTACTCTGACAGGCTGCAGGAACTGGGTATGCATGCCCGTCGACACAATATCCGTGCACTCTACCAGGGGGTCCGGCAACTGGCACCCAAGCAACGGATTGCTCAGCTACGAGCCCCGGATGGAGGCCTAATCTCCCCGGAGAAACAGGCCCAACTGCTCTCAGCCCATCTTCGCAGTAGCTACACTGGCCAATTCTGCCAGCCTGACCGTGCTGACACCATGCCCAGTCTCGCAATGGACACCGCTGCGCTGTCCAGTGCACTGGCAAGTCTCTCAGTGCATAAGGCTGTTCCGGAGCATCTTGCCCCCATAGCTGCCTGGCGTCTCTGCTCAGAAGAGGTCATGCCGAAGTTGTCTGAGCTCGTTAACAACCTCGCGACCGTCGATGAGCTATGGCACGCGGCCTGGCTCGCGCTCATCCCTAAGATCACGCGACCAACCCTTCCGAAGCATCTCAGGCCCATAGGCGTCACGGAAGTCTCAGGTAGAATTGTCTCCAAGATCCTCCAGAATCGCTTAAGGCCGTTTGTCCTCGAATACCTGAAGGACCTACCCCAATTCGCTTATGTTCCGGGCCGAGGAACTCTCGACTCAGTTCTCCGCGTACAAGCTCACTGTCAGGCCGTGATTGACTCCTGCATGTCCACGGATTGGACAACTCGCGAGGCAAGAGCTGGCATACCAAAGCCACAGGCCACCGCTGGAGGCCTGCAGCTATCACTCGATCTCAGCTCAGCATTCGACCACATGGAATGGGTACACATCGCCACTGCTCTTGATGATGCATCAGTCCCCACTGAGCTCCAAACTCAAGTATTAGAATGGTACCGCGATATCAAGTACGTCCTTACTGTACAAGGCCAGACTGTAGACATTTCCGCCAATCGAGGCCTGAAACAAGGTTGCCTAATAGCTCCACTCATATGGTCCCTGGTCACTGGTCGCTTCCTCTATGAACTTGCCCTTTGTGCAGACCCCATGTGGGTGACGACCGATGTCACGACCTACGCTGATGACTTTCATGCCGGAAGCCAAATCAGTTCATATGTCGAGCTCTGTCGCCTTGAAGTACGCCTAGGTCAGCTTCTTGATATACTCTGCGCAGCCGGTCTCACGGTCAATGCCCAGAAATCTGCGGTCCTCTTCCTCTTCAGGGGCAACTTTGCTTCCAAGTGGCTTAAGCAGCACCTGAGAACCACCCCCGACGGGCAAGTCCTGCGCTTACGCACGCCAACAGGTCGGCTGTTCGAGTTTCCAGTTGTAGAGGTTCACACCTATCTAGGGGTCCGAATAAGCTACAAAAACCCACGACTTGCCACCCTGCAGCATCGCATCCAGGAGTCCAGCTTGTACAAGCCGAATGGTCCAGACTTCGAAAAGTGGTGTGCTCCAAACGGGGCCTCTTCCTCAAAGACCGGATCAACATTTGGAGAGCGAGTATACCACCCATGCTCACTTACGGACTTGCAGCCACGGTTTTGCCAGCAGGCGGTCTCCACCAACTCCGCACTCTGTACCTTCGACAACTCCGTGCCATACTCAGATCCCCAGCACACCTCAATCATGTAAGCAACGAGGACATTCTTCGCAAGGCTGGTGTGCCCGATGTCGCCGGGATTGTCGAAAGGGACCTGGCTCGCTTACAGGCCAACCTTCAGCAACTACAGGTGGCTGACTCCTCTCTTCTTGCACCACACGTGCTGCGCTTCGCTGAGGGCCTTCAGCTCTCGCTGACTTCCCAACCTCCCCCGCGCGACCACGCGCCAGGCACGCGCGAGTGTGAACCTGAGGCCATTCTGGAATGCCGATACTGTGGAGAGACCTTCTCAACCTACCATCTTCGGAGAGCCCACGAGGCCAGGAAGCACCAGGTCCGCACACCCAAGCAGGCCGTGTACACCTTTGACCGATTCAGGCGCAGCATCGATGGTATGCCGACATGTAGCCTGTGCAAGTACCCGTTCAGGAAATGGAGCAACCTCCGAAACCACATAGCCAAAGGTCAGTGCCCCTTCCTCTGCTCCAACCAGACAGGGCCCGTTGCCACCAGGCCTCAGCTGGAGCCACCTACACTGACAGGTACGGACCCCGGTTCGGAACAGGTGCCTAACCCACCCCTACCCGGCACTGACACTACAGTCCTAGAGGAACCAGTGCTGCCCCTGATTCTCAGGCCGCGCATCGTGACCATCCTGCGTATGCAACACTGGCATGCTTTGCTTGACATGCCTGAATTGCAGCAAGAGCTCACTCATCATTGCCCTCTGTGTCGACAGTGGTGTGTGGATACCGCAGCAGTGAAGCGCCACATGACTGTCCAACATGCGGAGTGGACTGAGCAGTTTCCCAAGGTTGTAGAGCTCCTTAAACCCTTCCGCCGTACCATAGTCTTTCCATGTAGATACTGTAAACAGTCACAGGTTAACCGGCACACACACTGGCGATCCTGCATTGTTCTCCAAGTTAGCTGCTTTCTACAGCTAACTCTCGGCAGTGGACATGGAGGAGGCCCTGGAGATGACCGCGCAGGAGAGACTCTTCTTCGGAGGGGTTTGTCCATCGCTCCAGTCCAAGAGGGAAAGGGAGGAAGGCCCCTCGGAGAAACGACCGCGGACTACCGATGCTCTGGCCGCCTTCCAACCACCGGCGGCTGCACAGATGCCACAGGCGCCGAAGGGCAAAGGGAAGGGCAAGAACAAGGGCAAAGCAGCTGCGAAGGGTCAATGGGGGGGCTGGCATCGACAGTCAGCCACATGGGGCCAGGACCCCTGGCCCGCGGGACAGGGAGCATGGAGCACACCTTGGACTTCGGAATACGGTCTGCCGGACATGGTTCAGAAGCTAACCACCTTGGCGATCAAACACGAATATGCTATCAACAGCATGATGCAAGACCACACGCTCTACCTCTTCGTGAAGCCGGGGGACGAGGGGCTACTTCCGATTCTGTTCGCCACCTCGGAGAAGTGGAATGCCACACAGCAGACGGATCCGTCTCAAATCACGGAGCCATTGCGTCTGGTCATGATGAAGGCATTTCTTATCGAGCTGGGACAGAGATTGAAGGCCACGAAAGATCAACCGGAATCCACGCAGAAGGCCAAGGAACTGGGCTGGCTGACGGACCAAGGCCAGTGGAAGACTCTGGTCTGGGATCCAACGGCACAGGATCTACGCGAGAAGCAGGGAGGCAAACTGCACTTGACGGACGACTTGATAGGCCAATCCGTGGAGCTTCGCAAGATCATCACGGACGAGACCCTGTTTCGGTTTCAGTCCCTCCGGGGACTGAGCCGAGCTCCGCAGACGGCGTGGGTACAATTGGCGATCGAGGTCAGTGTCAGGGACATGGGGAATCGCGTGTGGGAAATCCTTCATTCCTGGATAGGCTGCGCAGCTTTGCACACCATGGGATGCCGCCTTCGACGCGAACGCGGCGGACTCTCACAACAGGCCAGAACCCTTCGCGGGTGGTGAACCGGCCTGGACGTGCTCCGCTTGCACCTAAATCCCATCACCCCCCTAATGCTGCCACCCCGACCCCACCTTGTAGCCTGTCTTGCTGGAATGTTCGCGATGACATTCCAGGCCTGTCTCAGATTCTACAATGCCTTCTGTGGCCACTCTGGTGCGACACCGCCAGGTCCCAGCATGTGCACGGGTTGCTTAAGCATCTTTGGCATCGAATCCGCACCACTCCTGATACTCTGATTTCCCTCAAAGGTGATCTTGTAGCGGGGGGAATACCGTCCACGGCGCAGGCTCCACACTTGTGTGCACAGCTCCAATACCTGCTACAACAACTTGCACCTGGTGATATGTCAGGTCCGTGGGAATGGTGTAAAACAGGGGTCACTGCTACACCTGCATTCGAGCAGGCCGACTTGACGATTCCCATGCCAATTATCTTGCCCTTGCAGCCTGCTCCTACCGCAGGTGGCTTATGGGGATGGGGAGACTCTGCATTCAGGCCGATGCTTCGAACTGCACCGTCCACCTTGTATATGTACGTGTATAATCATCGTGCAGGCTCTGCGTTGGTCACCGGGCCAAACACTCTATGCACATGGTTAGCTGCTGCTGGGGAGGCCTGTCCGCTCACCATTGAGCCAGATGAAAGCCCCCCATACCAATGCTTGTATGAGGTACGCTCAATCGTCCTGCATCGGCCATCCGGGGATCCATGCAGTTACCACGCAGTGCATCGAAAACTGTGCGACGATATGCTGACCTCCCTTGCGCCTGCATTAACCGCAGCTGACATGCGTGATATGTGGCCATGCATCCTTGTGCTACGACGACGCTCCAGCCAGGTACCTACTGGCTGATCGACTGTGGTGCCTCCTTTTAGTTAACGTTTTCCAGCTTGTGCAATCGACACTTGCTGTAGTTGCATCTGGCAGTTGCTGCGGCCCATGGGCACAGCATCGAGCTCCCTGGAGGGCTCCGGCATAAGACCGTGCTTCTCGCTAGGTGGATCGTGTCCGCTGCGTGGGGAATGAATGAATACTACTACTGCTACTGCTACTGCTACTACTACTACTACTACTACTACTACTACTACTACTACTACTACTATATGTATTTCACTCCTCGTCCTCTTGCTGCAGCAGCTGCTTCTGCTCATGGTCCCGCTCCCGCTCCTGCTCCTGCTCCTGGTGCTGCTGCTGCTGCCGCTACTGCTGTTGCTGCTTGCTGCAGCACGGTGTGTGTCTCAATTCCTGCTTGCGGTACTTCCCATCTTGTTTGGCATTGGGCAAATCTCCCAAGTGCCACAAAGTGCGACGTGCAAGCCAACACGGAAGGACGCTAATGGGACCTACACGAGCGATGCTGGGACTCTTCTCGAGTCTTTGAAGCATTGTCGTTGGTCTTGCGCTGCAGACGACATACTAGCTTACTAGCAGTGCTGGAGCTGGCCTTATGGTTTGATGGGTGAGGTCTTCTTAGGTTGCTGTCACATGCTAGGAGAATGCAACAGCGCCGGCTTTGTGCAATTTGTTGCGCATCGCGACGGTGACCAACAGCAATGCCACGAACACCAGCAACTTGGAATCAATCTTGTGCAAGTGGTACTGATGGAGTGAGGTGGTCTGAGAGTTTCAGATGATCTCTGCATTGCGATGCCATGCATACAGTTCGCTGTCTACGCACAAAGGGGTGTTTGGCTCTTTGAGGACAGGGCTCGGCTTCACAATTGGAGAGTTCGTGAGAATTGAATTCCGAGAGCGGGATCTTATCCTTCAGGTGATTTCAGCATCTTCCTTGAGCCGGAGACCTTGCAACAGAACTACACGCATCTGGCCATCTTCGCAAAGTCTGTGGCTCGAAGCAAGCCTGAGGGCACTTCTCCTGTGTGCTGCCTTCCATGTGTTCATCTTCGCGTTTACCGTCCCTGTGGACGTAAGATAATGTACGCACGGCTACTTCACAATTCAGCTCAGGTCTTGGTGGAGCAAACCACACCTGCTTCACTGCTCATCTTTGATGCTGCAGCCAGTGTGTCGGACCTGGCTTTCGACGATCTAGACCTTGACGTCTCCGCCTCAGCTTTTGCGGGTTTCGGGTTTGCACGAGTCCAGGAGACTCTCCCCTTTCGTTGAAGACGTGACTCGCGGTGGGGGAATCATGGCCCCGAAATCTGTATAATTTGACACGAGTGCCAACTCACAACAGTCTAGAAAACTCCGAATGCGCAATCCACATCAGGTGTTGCATCTGAATGCGGCTTTTTTTTTCCTGAGGAGCCTTACTAGGTTTAATATCAAGACAAGGGATTGTAACAGCTCTCCCCAGACGGCAGCAAAGTCCTCACTATAGATCAGAAGCCTTGAACAAGTCTTTCGAACTGGAGCTAAAATGAGCAAAGCACGACCTTGTAGTAAGGCCCCAAAGTACCAAACGCCATCCAAGCTCAAATCACTTCAAATCCAAGCAAGGAACAGCAATTGGGCGGTAGCATCACCTTCCTACCCCCGGCGTCCTCCGCGAATCTTGTGGATTCCTACGCGATCTACCTGGCGCAAGGGGCTGAGACGAAGTGTTAGACGTCCTTGGGTTAGTCGAGCGAAATGTTTGGTCTTGTGTTTTGAGGTGGAGACTGGGAAGGGATCAGGGTGCGGCAGCTGTTTGGTATGGACGGACATGTTGTAAGATTGTCGGCAACGCAATGGGCACAATGAGCCCCTTTAAACGCTATCGAATCTGGGGACATCTGTTTGGGAGTCGCAGCAGATAATTTTTACACTGAAAGCTTCTCCCTGGCCTTTCACGTTGTCGGCACCGAGGTCAACACCGGCCGGTCGGTTCCGCTCCCAATTGGGAGATTCACTGCCCGTTGGCAGAGAGTACTTGGCCACTTGCTTGCGACGGATTCTGACTCTAGTCTTTAGTTTTGGAGTTAAGCCTCATGTGTTCGATGAATGTAATGCTTCGGTATGACCCCAGATCATTTATGCGTCTTCGTGTGTCCATTGCGCACCAAGAAAGTTGTGTTGTTGCGGCAGTCGCTTTGGGCAAGACCGTCCGTTGCTTGCGTCATGGGTATGTCGTCGTCACAGCTTCCTGACACAACGAGTCCGGTGTTGTTCGCATTCCTGCTGCATCTGCGCATTGTCTCCTAGCTGCGCCCCCAAACCAGAGCAACAGCACAAAGGAAGCACCAACATGCTTGCGGAACCAATCAACCCCCGAGCTTCCCATCGGTCTGGCTTCCACAGGCTTTGCCTCCGGAGACGGACATCAACAGCTTCAATCACATCGTTGCATACACGCGCTCGTCACTGGTGGAGTCGGATCCTGAGACCTTCCAGTCGCAAACGCAGCACCATCTGAAGCACGAAGCCACCATCGAGGTTGGAACTCTGAACTCAGGCATACAAAGCAAATAGCTACAACAAAATAACTTCACTATGTCAGGCAGACCACGCCTATCGCTCTTCACATCTCCGACGTCCAGGTGCGCCAAGCACTGGCTGGTGTTTCAACACCGGGCCCTCCCCCCACCTGATGTTTTAAGGGATTGCGCAGGAGTCTGTCGGTTTGGATGCAGGGCTTCGAAGCCGAAGCACATCAAAATTGCTTAGCAAACAAAATAGCAGACAGCGCTTTTTGAGTTTCGCTCCAAGACTTGGGGTAGGTGGGCAAGTTTGCAAATCTTGGGTGGTTACCGACCCATTCTTCTACAATCAAAACCTCTTGTCGTGGTGGGCTTGGAAGAAGCCTGCACTGTTTTGTTTGCGGGTGTTGTGGCCCCTTCACGAGTCATTGGGTGCGGGGCAAGACGAGGGGAAGTGGTTCCCGGAGGGGAAATAGTGAACCTCCGACCGCTTTGGCCGGGGCCACGGCGAATAATTTTCATAGTTATCGTTTCATCCTTCGTTAGCCCCTTGCCTATAGAGTGTAGACTGGTGACACCTGGGCCACGAGCCCTGGGACCCCTGAATTGGGGACCCTCCAAGGCCTGGGGCCTGGCCTCTGGGACTTTCAAATCCGCATTTGGATTGCCAAGTCCACTTTCCCCGCTTGTTCCCGATTACAGCGGATGTTGCATAGCATACAAAGCCAAGACACTGGTCTGGACCTAATGCACTGGGTCCTTCAAGAACAATCCCGCCGGGCGAAACATATGTCTGACCTTACCGATGATGCTGCAAGAGCAATCTCTAGCTCCGGCCTGCTGGCTATGCCTACTTATGAACAGGCCTTTGTTTTAAGGCAAAGTTTCGGACACAGGTCGGTGCTTTGTGCATCTGGTTGAGCAGTCTCGGACTACATGTCTGTGTGGCCTCTGCTCATCTCGTTTCGGGCACTCAGGGGCACAGCTGCAGATGTAATTGGACGTGGAAGACCGGCACTGTTGCTGTCAGCTGTATTCTTCCCATCCTCGCACGTTCTCCTCGGGGTACAGTGGCCCCACAGCAGCTTGTCAGTAGGCCATAGTAGACCTTGGAGTCTGCCATTCGCCCTCGAGCTGGCTGACATCCAAGAAGGCTAGTGCATCAGCCTAGCGGTTGCTTTCTGTGATGCCTGCAGAACGACTCGCGTACGCGATTGCAGGACGACAACAAGGGTCTCCAGGGATCTGCCAGTTGACCGAGTAGAGCCTCAATTCCAAGAATGTCGGTGAGATAAGTCTTGATACGTAGTGGCTATTGCAAAATAATTTTCGCACTCGCAGTCAGCATTCATGGTTTCCATGACTGCTGACTTAGGCATGCACCGCTTCTTATCAACTGCTGTGGGTTTATCCTCTTCCATGCTCGAGATACTGAAGCTTGGGTGAGGGTGTAAGCTAGACAGAATGCAATAATGCACAATGAGCTCGCGCTCAAGCAATTGACACAGGCCAGGGTTGAAAACGTGAGCTTCTACGACTTGGACCTGGATTTCACAGCCCCTCGGAAGCCTTCCGGGAAAGGCCTGCAGATTTGGAGTAAAACTGCGTGATCTGTTTTCAAGACTGCTTGTCACGTGGATCTTTCTGGATGCCTTCATTTGGCGGGCTGCGCCCGTGAACCTACCTCAGAACTTCAACGAAGGATCAGATTGAGGCGAGTGGATGACATATTTCCAGGTAAAGATTCAAGGTCAGCCCTTTAAAACAAAATTCGGAGCTCATGGCTGCCATGCATCAGGGTTGTCGGTCTGGAAAGCTCATCTTGTTCCGTATACAGCAGAAGAGGAAGCTGTTGGATGAAGCAGCGACACCGCAGTGGCAAGACGCGGGACACCAGCGGCTGGGTTCCGCAGCGATTTCGGCATTCTAGATCCTGAGACCTCTAAATCTCCGATTCGAGCATCGACCACTCCACTCAACTGCCACAACGCATGGCCTCAGCGCGAAACCCGACAAAGCCGAGGAGCTCGGAGGTGACCTCGTTTGGGACGAACCGCGCAATACGGCGCAGGCAGCTTGCGGAGCAGCATGCGGCATGTCGCATGCGTGCAGTGTACAAGTCCGACAGAGAGCACAAGCAAAGCTTATGTCATTACGCTTCAACATGCTGGATTGTCGACTTTTGGCATCGATGGTTAGCTTGCTTCGGGGATGAGATTCCCATTTGCTGGTGCGGTCTTTTGGGCATCCGGCTGACGAGTATCCGCATTCGGGGAAATTAGAACTTCCGTCGCATGATGAGCTCACAGCTGCCCACCGATGCCCGAACCAAGTTTCGAGCCAACGACAGCCGTCCAAGCCCGAAAGCCAAAGCTTTAAGTCGCGAGCAAAGTCGCGCCAGGTGAAACAGTATGTGATCTACTTGGCAGAGGTGCTGGATGACCCGTGCCTGCACAGCTCGACCGAACCCCCCAAAACCCTGCACCCCAAAGAAGAAGCTAAACCTGCAACCCACAGTTGTGCTCAGTTTTCTGATCGCGGGTGAGAAAGTCATGGGTTCGGGGTTCGGAACTTGGGTCGAGGACATGGCGGATGCAGACATGGGGGACACGAGCGAGGATTCACGCGGCGGCGAAGACTCCGATGCACAGGCGACGTAACTCGGGTAAATCTTTTGGGATCTTTGTGCAAATCGGCTTTATAGGCAGCTGCCCCAACAGGCGCCCTTTCATTGTGTTCTGCTGTGCCCCACGTCCCAAATCCTGATCCCAGAAAAAGACAGAGTCTGGCTTTAGAAGCACGGTTGAGGTATCAAAGGCACCTGCGGACGCGCAAACCGCAAAACGAAGAACTGGCAGAGCTCAACCGTTTGCTAGACCCTACGATGCTATGCAAAACCTGATCCCCGGAATCCCATGCAGCAGGATGCCCTCTCCGCGCTAAACATCTCCGCGCGGCTCTACTTAGCCAACGCCGCCAGGCTCCAGAGTCATGCAGGATACAGAGTCGAGTGTTGTGTTCTGCCCCTCAACAAGACTGATGGCTTCTAGCTCTGTCGGGCATCGGTCTGGCTCCAAACTTCAATTCTTGTGAACAGTTGCATTTTTGGCAACAGGACACCTACATGCGGGCATCGTAGGCTTTGGGTCTGTAGCTCATGACCTCCATGCACCATGGTTGTCGGTCTGGAATGCTCATCTTGTTCAGTATACAGTAGAGGGGAAGCTCTCTGATGAAGCAAGTACAAGGCAGTGGCAAGACACAGGATACGAGTTAACAATTCAGGTGCCTCTCTGCAGTGGGCCTGCTTTCGGAGCAAACGGTGCAATTGGCACTTTTCTTTCGGAAAGCCGCAACATCCGAAATCCTAAGTGTCAGGGTCCATTTTCAACCGTCACAACCACGGTCGTTCAGCTTGCAGCGTTGCCAAGCCGAGGTTTCGGTGGGGGAGGCCGTCACCAGCACAGCTGCATTAAGGGTTTCAGCAAATCGCGGTTTACGTGTCAAGATGTAAAGGACAAGATCTAAAGTTGGGGGCACATTTTGGATGTACTAGACGGGAAAGCCGGAACATCAGCTATTGCAAATTTCCCAATGTCATAGATGTTCAATTCTGTACCATTCCCATCGAGCCAAGATCCCCAAGATTCTTGTCTGGGGATCCGAGATGACCGTGTCTCATCTATCTCTGATGTAACTCCGGCCTCTCATCTTGCTTTGTTGAGATGGAGCTTCCATCGCTAGTGTTTGTCCGTGTGTTGATTTCTATTTGCTCGTTCAGAACATGTAGCGAGTTTTTGCGGCATTACGACAGCTCAATGATGAGCAACAACCTCCAACCGTCCCGTATGGACTGCCAAACAGCATCAGACCTGAATGCCAAACACGATGCATCTTACGGCTGCCTTCTACATGAAGGCTTCCTTCGAAGTGGTTCCAGAGACATCGCGCTTGGATGACAACAACTCGGCAGTCCAGCTTGCAGCTTGTTGTGCACATCTCTGGCAGTTGCCAAATTCTTGGCTGCTGTTTTAGGCAGGCCAGGTTCTTGGTGCCGCTCAGCTTTTCTGGGACTGCTGATGTCCCGCAGCGATTCCTGAGAGCTCTCCCACCCACCCACCACCCAGGCATACAACAGCTTCCTCATCTACACAAAGTCTGCACTAATCGAGCAGACCACGCCAGAGATCCACTCGATATATGATGCAA